TTTAGAATAGTGGATAAAATTTGATAAAATTGATACTTATTCAATTATCTGTAAACCAATCCATAATTTACAACTAAATTTGAGCCAAATCGAACGTGCGGTTTTAGACGTTTCAAGGAAAAAGGATTTTCGCATATTTAAAAGAAAATATAGGATAGAAGGAAATACAATAGACGCAATTCAATACAATCGATACAGAATCATTATCTTAACAAAGCCGACCTGTTTTTTTCAACTTTGAGCAAAATAGAACGAGCTGTTTCTGAAATATTAGCATATGCCTGAAAATAATTTCATGCGTTCATAATCGGATGTACTGGATGGAACTTGATAAAATTGATATGCAACCATCTATGCACCAACCTGCTCAATCCCTGAAAATTTTGATTAAAATCGATTGAACGGTAGTAGGTGAAATGCGTGTCACATCACGATTTGATAACGGAAAGACAGACCGAAATAGTTTTTAGCCTCTTGCACGAATCCAAAGCTTCCCTACCTTCGGTAGTGAGGAAGCAATACCCCTTCTTTTTAATATCATTCCGCGGGTTCTACGTACATTGTGCAGATTTTAACTTTTATAATAAAATTAATCTTACCAAACTATTGTTATTTATCAAAATACACTCCATTCTTCTCGAAACATTTCTGCCAACCTGTTGGTAATTTTCTATTGCCTTTCAAAATAATTTTGAACTGTTGCTATAAACAAATTCTGAGAAAGAATTTTCTAACGAATCTATGGTAATAAGATTTTGATATTTTAAATTTAACAAATTCAAAGCTTTACCCAATTTCATAAGAACATTTTTTTACGGGCGTTTAATGCATTAAAAATCTAAATATCAATTTTTTTCCCACAGCAGTTGCGTTGAGATGACCAGCGATGGTCGATTTGCTAACGGTTAGTTTTTCTGCAAGTTCTCGACAGTTCTTCTGGGACTTTCTTAGATCAAAGCTCACAGAACATCGTCGTCAAGAAAAAAACTAATTCCACCATTGCATTTGTGGTTGAATGTTCCGCTCATTTACACTACTCTCGTCTAGATTTTGTTAAATTTCCTAACCTTTTCGGCTCTGATCCGACCGAGATTCGATTACGCTTTAACATCTTAGTAAAAACTGAATTATTTCTTAATAGTGAAATATTACAAAAGATAGAAAACATTTTTGTTTGGATAGGATAGATACGTTTTGACAGCCGTACAAAAGAATAATCCGTCAAACGTAAATACTTTGGAGAGTTAATGTATCGTAAATAAAACATTAAATCCGACATTATTTTCCGGACTAACAAATAGTTAAGCAATATGACACGGCTATTCCTAAACTTATGCTAATCTATTACTGTATTAGCCCATTAGCGTGGTTCAGAATAAACTTGGTTTGTAGTCGTCTCATTCCTTAAGATAAGAGAAGTCAATTACTGAGAGTATACATGCCATACCAACATTTTTATATAAGCTGAAGTGCCAATGGGATTATAGAGTTGTTTCCTTCCATTTAATAATAGATTTTTTGTTCGACGGAGAATATTATAAACAACTATATTTTAATTTTTAAAACCTAAACTATTCTCCACTCACGACATGAGTATATGTGGCTAAAGCACTCTCGCTCAATCTCCACTGGGTTTATCCCTAGTGATACGGTTGGGAGACTAATGCAGAGATCTCCTGGAGTCATGCTTTTCCCTCCGCAGTTGGAAGGACAAGTCTGGCTCGGGTTTCCCTTGCCTGATTGTAAATAGTGTAGATAGATCATTATGTTTTTTTTAATTTATTTATTTATGTTATTTTATTCTTATTTATTGTGTATATATATGTAAATGTCCTTTGAGACAGTTGAATTATTTCTCAATGAACAAGTTCTTAAAAAAAATAAAAATAAAACCTAAACATGTGATAAACATCTCATGGCAACGACAGCACCTAAAAGCCTTTAAGCCTCGAAATCATTAAAAAAGAATTCATTCCGTCTCCATCCATCGACTATTGAAACCAGCTGATTTTCGAAACCCACCCATTTCCTTATGCCTTTTATTAAAGTTGTAATAATTTAATGATCGTAATTGCGATTCGCCACTTCGCCACTTTCTTTTGATATCTCATTCATCAAAATATATCACAATTGAACCCTCGGGTACCTTGTCATTATTATTATTATTATTATTGTATCTCTATTTTTTATTCTCGCTTTGTCGGGTAAGTTTCTGAGGTGGGAAACCAGCAGTCCAGCCACCTTCATATTAATGTTTCTTATTTTTTTAGGTTTTTAAACATTTTCTAACAATTCGTGCTGTGTCTAAGAGAACTGAATGTTGAGCATCTTTCAGCACATCAAGAGGTAATTTTAATCCCATCGTGCCTGCCAATGTCTAATCATTTGTGGGACTTGGTTGTTTCGACTCAGGGAACCTCAAAACGTGTATTTACGTAGGAAACTCTAATTCGAAAATGTTCACGATCGCAATACTTTCTCTCGCTATACATTACGTAATATAGGTACGTGCAAATGAAAATAAACTAGCTCTCGGAGATATAGCTTCATTAAGAAAACTCTGAATGACAAATTTAAATTTCATAATAAAAATCTTAACTGATCACTAGAGTGGAATCAGACTAATGATCATTAAATATCATCTGTCCGGAGAAACAAGAGCCAAGGCTAAAGATAACGAATATCGCAGCAGTAAGGGAATGACTCCTAGAGTTTCAAGACTTATTTACTTATCTTTCCCAGTCTCTCGGCCAATGTCTCTTTTGAAAAGAAAGAAAGAAAGAAACTCTCAACCACTGATAAAGAAATGGAAAGGAATGAGAAAAGAGGCCATAAAAATGATAAAAGGGGGATAGAAGTGGATGGGGAGGGTTGGGGGGTCCGCCTCGGGCTGGAGGGGGTAAGAGTTTAAAGAAAAAAAAAGGCAGAAAAGTTTGTTAGACAAATGGCGCGGAATGTGGTAGATCCGAGCTCAATGTAGATAGCGATTCTTTAAAACAATGGCCCCATCCAGGAGGATAACAAATTAAAAATACATTTTATACCCATTATAGCTGACTATCGCTCCCTCAGATAGCTAGTTTTGTCAGCCTGTCCTTCCTTAGGTTTGCCCTTCTCTGTCCAAAATTATCAACAGGTTGCAATAAATAATGTATATATATAAAAAAAAGTGTAAAACTTGAAATAAAACAAGAAAGTATGTTATTTCGAATAAAACTGTGAAGTATCTCAAGTTGAAGTTTAACACTTAGGTTATAGCAGTTAGCTTCTTGTTTTCTGTTCTTCTTTCTTTATTTTTTTCTTATTCACTATCTCGCTATTTCTGGCATATGGGGGAGGAGTTGTTCTAGAGGTATGGGTAAGATTCATTGCGTTGGTTCGCCACTAAATAAACTTTATTCGGTCTAAGCCGGATTCGAAGCGGTGTCGATGGACTCGAGAAAGTTTGAAACTAGTCGGCTTGTGCGAATAATTTGCATAGCCTGTTGATCAGTGAACGAATGGAAAAATAATTTGGTAATATATAAATGCAATGTATTATCTATCTTACCCTTAGTTTCACACATGCCTTGTGATGTCGTATGTAAAGTAGACCCTACACGGTAATTCATGAATGAACGTCACAAGAAGTTCCAAGATTGCCCGCTATCGCTTTGTTCATGAAGACCCTTACACGTTCAATCATTAGTGATCATTACTTATGTGAAGTTTCCACTTTTTTTTCTCTCCAATTTATTGCCTACTTGACTATTTAAAGAAAAAACAGTTGAAAACGGTTGATAATAATATAGACTAGGGATATAAACAACTATTTACTTTTATGAAATTATTTACTTAATAATGAGACCTAGGTAAACTAACCTATCTAGTAGTAAGGTTAGTCTCATAGAAAATCGTTTTGACAAGAGTTAGTAAAATATAAGTCTACTACTTACAAAAATTAAGGAAAGGTATTGCGAAAATAATAAATTTGTTGAGGAAAATGGGAAAAGAACTGATAAATATACACAACGTTAAAGTTTTTTTTCTAAAGTAAATTGTGAAGTTTCCTAATTTTTTTTTTAATTTGTTGCCAACTTGACTATTTAAAAGAAATAGTTGAAGATGGTTTAAAATTATAAACAAGGGATATGAAAAATTATTTAACTATTTACATATAATGAAAATCAGAAATGTGTAATGGTAGTGAGGCCTAGGTAACCTAACCTATCCAGTAGTATGGTTAGTCTCCCACTACTTTTTCCTCTGTTCCCCCTCCACTTCTCGTGAATGAACCTTTGATTTCCGGATGTTCGGAAATCCGCAGCGCACCTCCATCAGTACTTCATTCGCTACCTTACACGACAATTCGGAACGTCATTAGTGCAATTCCGATTGACCGTGTAGGGTCCCCTTATGAGATGAAAACTTACCGTTTGTTTTTGGGCTCATGTGTTACGATATCATAGGTAGAAAACATTGTTGCTTTACAGGGCCTAGGTGCACTTACTAATAAATACTTATTGTTTTCCATGAGTATATCGTTGCCTTTTGGTTGCACATTCATTCTGAAAATCTCTAGCAATTGGATAATCAGAAATCAAAATGACTATTTTAACTAACTAGACCTAGTATAATTGGGATAACCACAAGCCCAAAGTGAAGTCGAAAAACTGCAGAGAAAAAGTTTCGATAATTTCTAAAAAAAAAAGTAAACTTTATGTGTCAAAACTAAGTTAAAGAGTACTTCTAGATTTGAAGTCAAATTCTATGTGGTTTGCAATTTTCCTTACTTAACATTGGTCGGAAAACGATTCGGGGAATAATTCTATTCATGAGGGAAATCAGAAGGTGACATCAGTTAGAAGATATCTTTTAACTCCACGATCAGTACAAGTATGAAGTAAAAATAAAAGATAATTCAAATTATTGAAATTTAAGAAAACACAAAGAACGTAACCTTCCCAATGATAACATTTCATATAACCTAACATTATTTATTGTATATAAATAAAACAGAGCTTCAAGTTAATTTTTAATTGAAAATGAAAAGAAATACCAACATAGTATATTTTAAAATAAATAAATAATAATGAAAAATGAATTAAATTACTAAGCAGTTAGGAGTTATGATTTCTACGTATGATGAAAAAGCTAGGGGTGGTAATAAAACAGACATCTTGTTATAGGAACACTTATTGAAGAATAACGTTAATGACGATACTCCATAGTGGAGGTGAAATCCTCTTCCAAGGTGCTGTTGAACTTACAAAGTGTATGAGATATAAGTAAAAGTAAAGATTTAAATTCGAGCTGATAATCGGGACAGATTAAAATATATTTGGTTATAGTCCAAGGCAATAACTTGTCAGGAGTAGACATTGTGATATTGTTAACAAGAGTCGAAATTCTTACCACAGCGAGCACACCGATTCCTTTTCCTCATATTGGTATAATTTTCGAATAATGATGGACTGGGAAGATGCTGATGAAGAAGGCCCCGAGTGGTCCAATGATAAAGATCGAAGAAAGAACTTCGTCGGTAAAGTTTTCTTCCTTACCGGAGCCATGCTGATGGTCTCAGCAGCTATTATAGCACTTCCTTTGGTAAGGTATGTAATTTTTATTCACCATTCTCATGTAAACATTTTGAGGCTCTTGGATTCTATTTTAATAAAAAAATAGATACGATTTTATCTTTTGTAGTCTAAGATGGCGGCCTGTTTCAAGAAAATCCAGAGCTTACAATACCCAGATTCCCGATGAATGTCGGATGTAAACAAATATTTAAATTTCTCTTTACATCAGAAAGAGCTGTCTTGACTTACACATGTTGCTTGCTTTAGGTTAGGTCGTGGTACCAGTTCATATGAGTTCCGCACAGATTACGCGTTGTTCACAATCACTTCGATCACACTTGTTCATGGAATCCCGAAAACTGCCGAATGTTTCCGGCGTTTATGATGTTAGCTGCTGTTCCCACCACACAATCCCTTTTCATGCATTTTTGAAAAAAAAAACACAAAAAACTGTATTCCCTTCATGGAACTTGCTTATAACAATTTATTATCGAATTAGGTATTTATTAATTTGCTAATTTATTAATTTTTATTATAACGATTATTAATTTGAAATAAACACACACACACACACACACACACACACACACATATATATATATGTATAAAATGATATTTGAGTCGTCCTTCAAGGCCTGTTAAAAAAAAAAAAATACTTTTAGAAATTTTATAAAAGATTTTTCTATCTTTTGAATGATAAACAATCTGAAGTTATCTATTATCTTTTTATTTGTTATTCGAGTTTTTCAATAGAAATATGAATAACTTAATTTATTATTTATTATAGCAAGCCTTTTTTAGAACTGCGCTATCGTATATCTAGTTTATGTAACTTTTTGGATTTCTAATAATATGAGGATCCATTATTTGGGGGGCGCTATTCATGCAAATACTGTCTGATTTGAGATTGAGCATAAAGTTTATGTAACTTTTTTGAATTCATAGATATAGGAATCCACTATTTTCTAGTCGTTGGAACTTTTTATGAATATACTGGAGGAGTTGAAATTATTCATCGATTTTTTCTAGGTTTTTGGAATTCTTAGATATCTGAGTCCACCATTAAGTTGTTAAGGACGCTTTTCATGAAAATAATATGAGATTAGAGATTGCGTAAGAAAACTAGATGAAACTAATAAATAAAATATACATATGTATTAATCGTTATATAGATAAATACGTATTCCAATAATCTCCAATCCCAACGGGATCCATAGATCTAATAGTTTTGTTGGACTATCCTGTTAACTTTCTTTTTTTTTTTTTTACTTTTAAATATGATATTTACAACTGTATTAGTATAAATACATCAAGTAAATGTGTACAGAGGATATAATCACACAAAAACGCTTGTTAAGAAACTTTTACTTTTTATTGGTTTTACTCTAATAATATGTCTACATGAGGAGATAACGAGGCCATCTTCATTCCAGACGACTCCGAAACAAGAGGATTCGGATGGTTATGAAGTTTCTTATGGAAGGATATGTATCTGAATCATAAGGAACATTAGGGTCTTTATGGATTATTTTATTTGTGACAATGTAAGGAGCATTGAGGATTTTACGAAGGATTTCGGAATGTAGGGATTGGATACGAGAAGAATTTGATGGTTTAGTAGAGTCCCAAAGCTCGATCCCGTAAGTTCAAATAGGCCTTATTATAGTAATATACATGAGTCGTTTGTACTTAATTGCAAGTTTAGTGCGTTTGTCCAGCAAGTGTTGGAGTTAGCGGAAACGTCAAGCAGTTACTTGTCGTTTCAGTCTTGTATGAGGATTCCAAGTGAGACGTTTGTCCAGGTGGAGTATTAGGTATCGGATTTGTTCTGCAGGGATAAGTAGGGTGTTGTTAAAGGATAATGCAGGACAGCAAGTCATTGGTTTACGACGAAGGGTAAAGGTGATTTGATGGGATTTATTGGAATTTATTTTAATCTTCCAGTTTTGACACCATTCTTCAAGGTTTGTGATGTGTGATTGAAGAGTTTGGGATGCAATAGATGAATCATTATTAACTAACAGGATACATTTGTCATCAGAATACGTAGTGATGTTAGGATTGGTTGGGATATCAGCTGTATAAACTGTAAAGGATAGGACCAAGGATACTACCTTCAGGAACACCGGTAGATTGAGAAAAGAGGGATGAATAGGTATTATTGTGATTTACTTTGAAGTGTCTAGCAGTATGGTAGGAACTGATGATAAGAAAATATGTAGGAGAAAGGAATTTATGGAGTTTGTAAAGCAACCCCGGATGCCAGGCTCGATCTAACGCCTGTTCGACTTCGAGAAAGACTCCAGAGTAATACGTTCCGCCCACGATGACATTGTGGAATCCAAATTGGTGATCAGGGATTATGTGGTTTGAATCGAGGATGGGATACTGGCGTTTACTGTTAACTTAAAATTTATTTTCTCATTTTAAGCTCTATTATTTTTATTGAATGAAGAATTAATTAGTATACGTAATTTTTGTTATTCGTAGTTATTTTGCTTAGGAATCCGGAAATGGAAACTTATTGTAGCCATTTGTTTGAGGAAGGAATTAACGTATTGGGGAAACAACTGACGAAGAATATCTGATAATTTCAAGATAATGAATATTGGAAATCATCAATAACAAAAATATTATCTTGAAATAGAATTCAGAGATATAATAATTAAAGGTTTTTATCTATTACCATTTCTTTTCCACAACTATATAATATATATACAAGTTCGATTAAGGTTAAATGTAGCCTATTAGCCTAAATTTCGGTTCAATATAGAACTGAACATGCTTAAGGTTATAGAAGTACTAAAATGGCGGTAAAGTTAATAGTAACTGGCTCAAGAAATCGGTCGCCTTCGTTCTCTTTCGGATAAACCCGAACGCATTCGGTAATTCATGAACAAGTGTGATCGAAGTGATTGTGAACCACGCGTCATACGTGCGGAACTCATGTGAACCTAGGTCATATTTTCGCCTTTCTTATACGCATTTATATAAAATAGTAAAAAACGTAATGAGGAAAATATTTTCGGCTAAAAGATAAGTTAATAGAGTTTGTTTGCATCTAATGCAAATTGCTGAAATACGCATTTAAAATCAAATAGAATTTCTTATCTACTCTCCGATAGATATGGATAAAATTGGTTTAATATTTAAAACTAATAGTAAAATACGTAGTCAAAGTAAACCTTAAGTGTTCATAAACTTTAATTAAGTGTTCAAGGAGTAGATTTACAACTCATATAAAGCTTATTGTTTTATAATGAGCTAAAGAGTGTCTATTACTATTCCTCTCAAAAAGGAAATATCGGATAGTTGGCACTTCATACGGGACGAAAGCCTACCAAGCAAATTAAAAGCTTTTTAAAAAATCAGTAAGGCCCAGAACAACATCAAACTGTCCTAATAGCAGAGAGGAGGTTGCCGGGACTAGGTTAAAAACAGCTGCCACACATTTAACTCATTCATATCTTATCAGTAAATAGCCATGCCTACATAGCAATAGCCCTCTCACAGTCAATCATATTTTTCAGGAATACTCTTATTACACCTCAAGCTTAAATAGATCATATCTAAGACTGGAAATATCTCTTATATAAAATAATAATCAATCAAATATGAAAACAGATAGCTTTTCTTAAAAATCCGCAAGCTATTAAACACATTCACACACACACTCCCATCCCTTTCCTTGGCGCTACAGACTGATCTAGTCCTTGGCCTCCTCGACAAGTCCTCGCCAGGTAAGCATCTCGTGTGTTGCGGATACTGAGTAGATTCCGGACATCCCTGGAAACAATGTCCTCCCATCTGAGCCGTGATCGTCCTGTTCCTCTTCCCCAGTGGAGCCTCCTGTTATAACATGGTCATCTTGACCAGCAGAACCAACTTTAGAGGGACTCCAAGCTCTCTTAAAGCTGCGGACAACTAAGGCCTTCTAATGTTACAATAGGCACTTCTAAAATTAACAAAGAGGTAGTCATCCGATACTCCTGGGACTTCTCGAATATCATCCGGAAATTGAACATTTAATCAACTGTAGTTCTCCCGCCTCTGAAATCCGCCAGATATTTTCCAATTTCTCTATCTGCGAATGGGAGGAGTTTTCTTTTTTTTTTTTTTTATAAATTGCGTTAGAAAGAACCTTGTAGGCGTACTGTAGAAGCGAAATACCCCGGTAGTTAGAGCATGCCAGAATGTTGCCTTTCTTGTGAAGTGGATAGATGATGTCTCTCCCCAAGCCCAAGCAAACAGACTATCTATTACTGGTAAATTGTCTGTTAATTATTATTATTATATACTATTATATATTAATATTATTATAAACTGTTCATAATATTCCAACTCTGTTCCTGCACGATAATTCCATCAAAAACCTTGGATCAAACGCTTTTCAGGAAAAATCATGTATCCAATATTTTCCTATCATGTACCATTTCCACTCTAAAACGTCTGAATTATTCTCTTCACCTATTTCCATTTGAAACCCGTAGGCTCCTAGTTACTTCCATAATTTTCCCCCACTTAGACTATTACTGTCCGGTATATTTGGGCGTCTCTGGGGATCTCGAGGCGAAACTAAAATGTTTGATAAATTGCTTTGTAAGATTCATCTTTGGGATACCAAGGGACGCCTCTGTTTCCCATTTTTATGCAGAGTTGAATTGGCTTTTTTCCTTCCTACGCTCGTAAATATTTCCTGGCCTCCTTCCCTTTTCAAATTATCCAATCCCACCGAACTTCATATATCTCCGAGCTCCTTCAATTCAAATCCTCTGTTAGTCCCCCCAATACTCGTTCCCGGTCTTCTGATTTATACCTTAGATCTTTCATTATCCGATCCTCATCCCATTGGAACTCCATCCTTTCTCACATTCGTCAATCTAATACTCTTCCTACCTTTAGATCCCGCCTGTTCCATCATTTCTTATCCATCCAGTCGCCATGAAATTGTAAATAGATACTAATGTAAATATGTATATAAATTATTAGTTTGTTCTTCATTATTATAACTTCATCCTTTTTCTTCAATTTTTTATTTTTTATTATTAACTGATTAAAATTAGAAAGTAACTTCTAATTTTTCATTTTTTACTATAACTGTTTAATTATTTTGATTTTTTATTTATGTATCTCTGAGGCTCCTTTGCCCATATTTATTCATTTCTGTATTATTCTAAAGAGACAGAGAATAAATAAAGTATTATTATTATTATATACTATTATATAATGTTATTATATCTACGATATATTATTGGTATATTTACCTTTAAAGAAAATTTTTATCGCTGCGAATATTCATAGTGTCGTAGGTATTGTTATCCGCGGTTAATAAACCAATTATCAGAGATAGTGATGATCAGATCGAATTCCTATAAATTATATTTCTAATATTTGTGTATTTCCGGGTATCCAGGAGTAGAGCAGATGATTTCGATTTCGGCTGACATCATGGAGTAGCAGAAGAGAAGTACTATCCAAAAATATGTAAATAATAAAAGCAGGAGAAATATTTCTGTGAACCAATCAAAGTAAGGTTATGTCAAGATATATATATATATATATATATATATATATATATATATATATATATATATATATATATATATATATATATATATATATATATATATATATATATTCATCGAATACCTTTGAAATATATTCTTTATTTATGCTTGCAAGATTTAATCTGATTGAGGATTATCAATGAAAGATTCTAAGATATGTAGTATCTTCATTGATTGAAACTATCTACCCAGATTTTGGTATCACTCGAAGCATCTTGCCAACTATAGCGGCATTCATTCTTGTGTAGGGACTTCCAGTTAATTTCTTCGAGATACATGCTCCGGTCATCTTAATATTTTTTGCCTTTACATAAGAATAGGAGTGCTTTTACATCATGATATATTGATTGAACATTTTTTGTAAGGAGATATTTATTAGCCGTTCTCATTCAAGTATCTTCCTCTTTTTGTTCAGTTATTGCGTGACTTTCCTATCAAATGTTTCAATACCGCATTGTAGTTTTTTTTTCTTCTGGATTTCAGTACCCTTGAAACATAGAAGAAAGCTCTATTCGTGCTTTGATACGTTGATAAATCGTGCTCTGATTGTTGTTAATTTATTAGGAAAAATTTACTGGCGAAAAATCTCTCGATTATAGATTGAGGATAAAGGGCCTAATACTTTTTAATGATTTATTTTTAATCTGATATCCCCTCCATTGTATTTTTCTACTTAATATGAGCCTAGAGTTTGAGAAATACTGTTCTAGATTATTCATAAGGAGAGTAACATGGTTTTAAAAAAAACAGACTGATATAATAAATATAAATCAGACATTTGATCTGAGCAGCATATATGAATGTTTCATTAGAATCATTTGTTGTAAAGAGATGTACCAGAAAAAATATGTATGTCTATCATGCTATATTTGAGATATCAATAATACACCAAACTATCAATTTTTAAATTAATGAATGTCATGTAAATTAAAGTAAAAATCTTGTTTCAGTGATGAAATTGAAGAAGCTTTTTCTTACAATAAACTGGTCATTGGCATTGTGGCTTTGTAAGTTTTTTAATTATTGGAATATTTTAGAGTTTGTTTTCATTATAAACAAATTTAAAAATTAATTACATTAATTTAAAAACTATATTTCTTTTGTAGAGTTGGTAGTTCCATATCGTTGCTGGCATTGGTATGTTGCCACAGGGCAAGACACATTTTCCCATTAAATATGATTCTTCTAATAATTTTGGTAATTTGAATTTATCATTTTATAATTATAATAGTTTTCCTCTCATTTTGTTAACTAAAATAATTTTATAAACTAAACTATATGTTCACACTTCTGAGGTCTGGAGGTAAAGCACGCCTTGTCTATTTCATTTATTGAATAATTTATCAAAGAAGAAACAAATTTTAGTAGCTCAAAGCTACGGATAATTGGCACCCTGAACATGATGAATATGAGAACGGAACCCTGAAACAAAAATCTCTTACTTAACGTACTACGTACCTTACCTCCAGGGTATAGATTTATAATTATATAGATAAAACTCATTATACCCAACTGACTAACAAACTAAAATCAGAAATTAGAAAATACAAAATTCAAAATTTACTAAATTTTACTGAAAAACTTACACCTACCGACAAATCACAGTGGACGACGACTAAACGGCTCCTGAAATTTAAAGACTTTAATCATCCACTTCATACTGAAGATCAAACTTGGTCCCAATCTGATGAAGAAAAATCCCAAATTTTTGCTCATCACCTCTTCAAAACTTTTAATCCACATCCTGATATCCTTAATCCAAATCAGCTTGAATGTATTGAAACAGAACTGGATATTCCACTTCAAATGACTCCTCCTCCTAAAGCATTTCATCCTTCAGAAATATCCAATATTATTCACAGATTACCCTCCCGCAAAGCTCCTGGCCACGACCTAATCACTTCCCACATTCTTAAGCTACTTCCTCGAAAAGCCATTCTATTCCTTACTTACATTTATAACGCCGTACTCCGTTCCACATATTTTCCTGACCCTTGGAAACTATCTGTAGTCAAAATGATACATAAACCCAAAAAGCCACCAGAATACCCATCCTCTTACCGTCCTATCTCTCTTTTACCATCATGGGCAAAATCCTGGAGAAGCTCATCTTAAAACGCCTATATCCCATCCTAGATTCTAACCACATAATCCCTGATCACCAATTTGGATTCCGCACATCCAATTCCACTATCCAGCAATGTCATCGTGTGGTAGACGTAGTCTCCTCTGCATTGGAGCGCGGAATGTATTGCACTGGAGTTTTTCTCGACGTTGAACAGGCGTTTGATCGAGTCTGACATCCGGGATTGCTTTATAAACTCCGTAAATTCCTTCCCCCTACATATTTTCTTATCATCAGTTCCTATCTTACTGATAGGCACTTCAAAGTAAATCACAATAATACCTATTCATCCCTCTTTTCTCAATCTGCCGGAGTTCCTCAAGGTAGTATCCTTGGTCCTATCCTTTACACAGTTTATACAGCTGACATCCCAACCCATCCTAATACTGTTATTACCACGTATGCCGATGATACATGTGTCCTATCCGTTAATAATGACCCAACCATTGCATCCCAAACTCTTCAATCACACATCACAAGCCTTGAAGAATGGTGTCAAAACTGGAGGATTAAAATAAATTCTAATAAATCCCATCAAATAACCTTTACTCTTCGACGTAAACCTATGACCTCATGTCCCACATTATCCTTTAATAATACCACACTTATCCCTGTTGAACAAATCCGATACCTTGGACTTCATTTGGACAAACGTCTAACTTGGAATCCTCATACCAGACTGAAACGACAAGAAACCGCTCGACGTTTCCGACTATTCCAACACTTACTAGACAAACGCTCTAAACTTCCCCTTAATTACAAAAGACTCATATACTTGACTATAATAAGACCTATTTGGACTTACGGAGTTGAGCTATGGGGCTCCACTAAACTATCGAATTCCTCTCGCATCCAATCCTTCCAATCCAAAATCCTTTGTAAAATCCTCAATGCTCCTTACTTTGTCACTAATAAAATAATCCATAAAGACCTCAATGTTCCATATGTTTTCGATTTGGCCAAATCCCAAATGTAGATACCAATCCTTCCATAATAAACTTCATAACCATCCGAATCCTCTTGTTTCTAACCTTGCTTCCTTTTCGATTCCTGATAACCCTCCGAGGCGTCTGAAAAGAAGATGGCCTCGTGATCTTCTCATGTAGACAAATTATTAGAGAGCTACCAGTGGGTAGTTTCTTAACAAGCGTGTTTCATGTAATAATATTTCTCTGTACAAATTTACTTGATGTATTCATACTAATACAGTAAATATCATAATAAAAGTTAAAAAAAAAAAAAAAAAATGATATAGCTACAAAATATTCAAAACTCCATATCTCTGAACTAAATAGTCAGATTTTTAACTTCACTTACCTATATATGTAATATGTAATAAGGGAAATTATTACGATCGTGAACATTTTCGAGTCCCAGTTTTTAACGAAAATACACGTTTTGAGATTCCCTGAGTCCAGTTCCGCAAAATGATCTGTGTGTGTGTGTGTGTATATGTGAACAGTCTAGTCCAAAAACGAAAATTCATACGAAATTTTTTTTTTTTTTTTTTGAACAATTTTTATTGAGAAAAAAATACATTTTGCCTCAATTAAGGGCATTGAGTATTTATGATGAATGAAGTACAATCATACCATATATACAATAAAAGAACAACAAGATTATAAGAAAATAAAATAAAATAAAACTTGGAGTAACAGAATAAATCAAACATGATACAACATCTAAAATAAAAAAAAATAAAAAAATAATAATAATAAATAAAAACACATTCAAACTTATTAACAATATTTACAGTCAGCCGAGGGAGCTCCGAGTCGGGCCTTTTCCCCCACGTGTGGAGGACAAGGCAAGACTCCAAGAGATCCTCTCTCAGCCGCATCACTAGGATGGGAATCCAGTGGAGACTGAGAGAGGGCACTAAAGATCTCGGTTTTACAAAAGATCTCGAGGCCACTGCCGCTTCAACCTTCGAGGAGGATTGTAGGGATGACTGGAACTGGATAAGGATTGTGCTAATGGATTAGGATGATAGGTTAGGTTCTGATGAAAATTTGAAAATCGGGATGGAATAACGTCAAGGACATAAGGGATGTTAAGGTCATGATGTAAGGTTTTGTTCGTAACATAATAAGGAGCATTGACAATTATACGGAGGATTTTAGACTGGAAGGATTGGATGCGTTTGATGTTCGATAATTTAGTTGTCCCCCACAGTTCAAGTCCGTAGGTCCAGATGGGTTTCAGTATGGTCTTGTATATTAATAGTTTGTTTTCAATTGAGAGGTTAGATTTTCTGTTAAGTAGTCTGTATAACTGGCCAATATACGAAACTAATATTACATATTTAAGATAGATATATGCTTGAGATGTTAAAGCAACTGTTAAAATCGGCTAACCTGAAGTGGCACTTTATATCAACCGTTATACACATTTTTTACTATTTTCTCAAAAGCGGCTCCAAAGATTTCTATTAAACTCGGTGTATCATTGTATGATTAAGTGGCGTTTAATATCATTGAGGTCTTATCCCCATTGATGTGACTTTACAGGGATTAAATGCCCAGTGTTCATGTTGTATGCCTTCCTCTATATATTTGTTTACGAAAATGTACAATAATTTAATTTTTTTTTTTAAAGATAAATTCATGAAGGCTTAGGCTCTAGAGCCGAGCCATCACGGAGCTCGAGGCTTATTTTTACAATACTAATTCTTTGTCAGTTGCATGTTAATGGTAAATGGTGTCTTTTCAGTGTATATCTTATGGACTCATCGGTGCAGTAGTGGCCTGCCACTACAAACTGATGGTCATCTTGATATCCTTCGGAACGGTAGTCCTCATCGTCATTGTGATAGGCATATTTGCCAAATGGGGACCTGTAAGTACTCAATATTTTTATGTCTCTCTTTTTTTAAAATTCCCAATAAGTAAATAATTAGAATTGCCTGTCTTTTCGCATCTAGCATTGTTACTAAAATGTTACCTTTTGGGGTTTTAAAATTTATACGAGATGCTACTGGATAATTATTGATGATAATTACCCAGAAATGTTTAATAAAAAATAAAAGTGAAAAATTATAGTAAAATAAATTTGGATCTATAATATATTGATTGGTCCAGAATTAATTAATTGGATTTCTTTTCTCAAAGGCTGGTTTGTGTTTATCATACTTTCTAATTACACACATTACCTGTGATAATAATGATATAGATAGGTGCCGTGACTAAAATAACTTTTAGTAACAAACTGAATTTATTTCAATTTTTAATAAAGAATATATACAAATTATATTTACAAGAATACAAATTATAGTTACAAGAATCAATGAATTCAATAATTAACTGTGAAGGCATGACTTCAGATGGACTGTTTTGAAAATTATATTGCCATTAAATATTATAACATTGGTAGATTTATTGTTGGGAATAAAACTTATCTATTGTATATGAGGTGATATGGTTGGTCTACCAACCAGTTTATAAATACATCTATGTCATCACTGCATCTGTTAAGTTGAGATCATCTCGTCATGGTTCAAAGCTCTGCCAGGATCATCATGGTCTATCTAGGGCCAAGGCTACAGTTCCCGAGCCGGAAGAAAACAAGAAACCCATCCTCAATGCCGGACATCATCGTAAGACCTCTCCTCCAGGCAGGATCTCCACATAAGACCTCTCCTCTCGGCCGGATATCCACACCAGGCCTCCTTTCTACCTTCTCAGTAGATTTTATAGAAATATTCAGGGTGGGGTAAGAATGGTTCTCATTGGTTGAATTTTAGTAGCATGAGGGATGACCACGCCTCCTGGCCGTACGGCTGTTTCCTCTTTCTCGAAATTGATTCTGTTCTCTCCCTTGCTTAGACAAGCCTTCCAATCCTCTCCAAACATGCCCACTTAAGACCGGTGTCAGTCCTTTGGTGTTTTATTGCACCTCACAAAAGGTTGCATTCCCTAGGGGGTCTATACTCTCCCTCAGGTAACCCGACATGTGTTAGCAATTATTATTTAGACTATATTTCTTCATTTGAAATAATTAAATATATTCCACATGTGGTCCTTACAATACACAGCATTACCTTTATCCAATAAAAAATAAATCTATATATTAAATAGATAAACAGTCACTAGCTGTTCTTTTCGAGATTTTACTTACATCAAATTAGAATTATACATGAATATTTCAAACTATGAATGTAAGAGGAATTTCATCTGATCTGTTGAATAACATCCGCTAATATACTTCAGTGCGAACTCTAACAATAGATAGCCATTTACCCATACTTTACTTCTTAGTGCTGCCCTTAGGCATTAGGGCATCCCCGGCCAATGACGCTATCTAGCCCCCCTCCCATGAAAAAGTTATAATTATTTCTTAAGCTGTATTATTTTGTGTTATATTTGATTAGGTTGTTCCATAGGAAAATATACTTACAGTTTAATAGTTACACAATAAGACATAGTCATCTCTGAACTTCTGCTAATCCATTATTACTCTTCCAAGGCCTCTTTGTTTAGAACTAAAGATTCTTGTTTGTATGTAGTTCTCTCAGTTACTAACAGTATATAAGTCTATTACTGAGAGTATATACCGCATACTTTAATTTTTTTTTATTCGTTAAACATTGTGGAATTAATTCGTAATTTATATCAGGCACTTCAAGAACACCTAGACGACATAGCTTGTTGGCCTAAAAGGTGGAGGATGAAAATGAACGAGTCTAAGAGCCAATTTATTTCATTTACACTTAGACATGAATCTTGTCCTCCAGTGTTCTTTAATAATATCGCTCTACCATCTTCAAAAACTGTACGATATTTGGGTCTCCACTTGGACAAACGACTGACATGGAAATACCACATAAAACAAAAAAGAAAAGAAATTAATCAGCGGTATAGACTTCTTTCTAGGCTACTTGGCAGGCGCTCTAAATTATCTGTGACTAATAAATTAACTATTTACAAAGTTCCCATTAAACCACTTTGGACATATGGAATCGAACTATGGAGAACAGCGAAGAAACCAAAAATAAAAATCATCCAGTCATTCCAGCCAAAAGTCCTTTGGAAAATTGATATTTATGTTTCCAACCTTACGTTACACACTGACCTTAACACTTCTATCATCACGGCAACTGCCACTGACCGCTTTAATAATTTTCACGACAGACTAACTCTAAATTCAAATCCACTCACTCAAGCTCTATCTACTGCCACAAATCCATATAATCCGCCCAGAAGACTGCTGAGGCGCTGGCCAAGAGACTTATTACATTGAGCTGCTTGATGTTTTTACATTACATTGATCTTTTTCTTGTGTGTTATTATATTATCTTATTAGTTATCTTCATTTTACTACTGCTTTTTTTGTATTTTTTTTTCTTTCTGTTTTGTTATTACTATTCTTTTTTATTTTTTATGCTATCATTTATTCTCCTTGATATCATATTTGCTGAATACCGCGGTAGATAGTAAATTTATTGTGAGCCAGGAATATTTGTAACTAATAAATAATAATAAAGTAATTTATATTGGGTCATTTTTTATTTCTACTAATGATTAAACATAGTTAATTATTTGAAATAAACAAAATTGAAGGTATTTCATAGAGGAAGATATTTTGAAAATTTTATATTTAAGCCCTTGCAAATTAAATCTATGAGTTTTTCGTTTTTCGACAAATTAAATATATTAGAAGGCACTCATTCGTACACAGATATAATAATTGAAAATTGTTAGAGCTATTTTCAAAAGTATAAAATAATATGTAATATCAAGCTTGTATCACTTCCTGTGTTTGGGTTAGTCTGTTCAAAAACAACATACACATGAATACAAAGACAAACATAAAATCATGTACACAAAGACCATTTTAGGAGATCTGGCTATTTGGAATGAGGGTATCTTAAAACTTGTGTTTATGTTGAAAACTCAGATCTTTAATTCCTCACTATACTTTCCCTAACTAAATAGTATATAGAACTAAAAGTACTGAAAAATTAATTATTGAATATATGAATTATTGATCATTTACGTAGACGATTTTAAAACTGTTATTGGACCTCCACAGGTAGATGTTACAGGTTGCGGATGGTTCATGTGCGGGCTGAGTATTGGCCTAACGGTCGTTCTCACTGTTTTCGTGATAGTGAGCATATTTTACTACATCCCGATACTACAACTGGTTATTTCATGCCTGGTGGTACTTGTATATATTATAGTAAGTAAAACTGCTTAATTTAATATCATTTATTGTCTTCTTAACAATCATACTTAGTAATATTCCTTCACTAAGCCGCATTGTCCTGAAAACAAGCTTAATTTCGCCACCCTTTCTTTTACTCATCTCAATAAAAGTCAAAAGTTTCATATTTATTTGGTGTTGGCAGTATATATCGAAATAAATATCAACTTTTTTGGGAGGGGAGGGGGTGAAATTAATGCTATAACAATCAAAAAGTAGAAACGAACATTTTTCTGTACTTTACCGGTGAAGAAATAGTTACTGTAAACAATATTGCAGTCACAGAGAGAAACGCAAATAAAAAAATCAGGTGTGGTGCGCGCATTACACAACTTTCACTTACCACCTTCTTCTTAGCAGAAATAAGTATTTTCAGACAAAACGAAGTGAAAGTAAAAATTATAGACTATATTTATTTATATTTCATTGTGGGTATTTTTATTTGTATAAGTACCCTTATACATACAAATTTTAATATTTATATTGCAGTAATCTATAATAATAATAATAATAATAATAATAATAATAAAAGGCTTAGCGAACCCGAAGGTTCGATGCCGACGCCACCAATCGCTTATTACAGACCTCCCTCCACCGTTCGCCGTCCAAACCCAGTCCCTTCAGATCGGCTTTAATGCAATCTTCCCACCTTCGCTTCGGTCTACCCCTTGGACGCTTACCATTCGGCACAGCAAATATTAATCTTTTAGGAATTCTCTCGTTACTAAGCCCAACAACATTACAAGCCCATTTGATTCGCCGCGACGAAATTACCTCAATTATTTTACCCGGATACAGTTCACGCAATTCGGCGTTGTGTAACTGTCTGAACTCACCGGTTAACTCATTCTTCTTCGGTCCGAATATTCTATGCAATACTTTATTTTCAAAAACCTTAAGACGCTGCTCATCCCTTAATGTAAGCGGCCAAGTTTCGCATCCATAAAGAACTGTAGGCAAGATAATTGTTTTATAGATTCTAATTTTTAAGTTCCGGGACAACAGGCGCGAACTGAGTAGTTTTGTCACAGAAAAATAACAAGCATTTCCCGCCTTCAGTCTAACCTTAATTTCTTCTTCAATTTCGTTTTTTCTAGTTATCGTAGAACCTAGATACCAAAATTTATCTACCTGTCCAAACATATTACCATCTATATCGATATCACCAGTAGTTCGCCTTTTTTGCAGCTAACCATATATTTTGTTTTATCCAAGTTTATTTCGAGTCCTAGTTCTTTACCGGCTTTCATTAACGATGTCGTATTTAGTTTTATAGTTTCAACGTCTTCGCTTAACAGTACCAGATCATCAGCATAGCCCAGCACGGATGTTGTCCCGCCCAGATCCAACCCTTTCTCGGTTCGCATTACCTCCCTAATGGCATGTTCTAATGGCAAATTGAACAGTACAGGCGAAAGGGAATCCCCCTGTTTTAAACCCGAGCGAACCTCAAATTTATCCGACAGATTATTACCGATTCTAACTTTATTGAGTGTCTCCGTCAAGCACATCCTGACTAGATTTACTAGTTTTTTTGGAATCCCCTGCTCAATTAGAATATTATATTATACAGTTTCTGGCGGTCAATAGAATTATAGGTAATCTATATTCAATAGGTAATCTATACAATTAAATATTAAATAATACCAACAATAGCATTTATGAAAACAGCATATGTATATTTATATAATATTTTCGAAGCCCGTATTATATTAATCTCATGTTACGTATGGAAGCGTGCTCTAATCTTTCGGGTGAGCTGGGATGCGCTAGTATTCCTTTGGTTCCTATTCATTCACAACTATTATCCGTTACGATCTCTTGTTTCTCCTTTAGTTAATTATCAAATTATTTTATATTCATCTATATTTTATATTATAGATCAATGTGAACTGGTCAATTGTTCCAACTAAAAAAATAAAGGTACTTTAGGGGAAGTTAATGCTAAAAATTAGCCATTTAAGACTTGTTAGAGAACACCAATCAGAATAAAACTACATCTTATTTAAAAATGCTTAATTTTACACTGATGTAATAAATTTAATCAAAATCGTTATAGCCGTTTTCGAGAAAGTTGTAAAAATGTGTTTAGTCCAAGATATAAAGTGCCTCTTCCGGTTAGCCGATTTTGACGAAAAAGTTGCTGTAACATCCCTAGCACATAAAAACCTTAAATATGCAATTTCACCTTCGTACGACACACACACACACACACCATTTTGCGGGACTTGATTATTTGGATTCTGGGTATCTGAATACACGTATTTCCGTTGAAAACTGAGATTCGAAAACTTTCACGACCGCACTACTTTTATTTACTATACAATTAAGTGAAAGTAATAAATTTGATTTATTAAAGTAAAATACATATTTTATGAAAAAAATTTATTTGTGTCTCTTATACTGCATTCTCCAATTTTTAATTTAAAAAAATATATCTCAAAACTTTCCTCCATTTGCATTCAGAGCACTGGGCATTTTTTCTCTTTGGCCTTAATCTTTCGTATCAATGATTTATAATAATTCGCTATATTTTATATTTGCAAATATATATCGCTCAACTGTTGAAATAATAATGTAAATATGCACATCACAGAATTTCATAGAGGAAAGAAATTTTTCTTACTGTCAAAAAACAAAGAATTTTACAAAAGTTTATAATTTTAAGATACCTTCGGTGTAAAATGATGTACCAAAACATGACCGATTTTTATGCACATTTTGTAAATTGTAAATTCGTTCACATAAACTTATTATTATTGTTATTATATGGGAAAGATAAATAACTAGAATTATTAAAATATAAGTAACATATTTTTTTAAAATTGATTGTACTTAGGCGCATATTTCAGACTGAAATATTGAATCGTTTTTCCTAATATTTAAGAGACATGACTTGATTCAGTAATTTTCCAATGCCATGTTTCAGTTCTTACTGTACGATATGCAAATGATCATCGGTGGACGAAGAGAGCAGCTCGATTCTGACGAATACATACTAGGAGCTGTATTATTGTTCAAAGACGTAATGATACTTTTTTTGTATCTGTTAGAGATTGTTAATGCCGCTACAAGAGGTTAGCGTATAAGCAACTTTATGAGCGGAGATTTTTCTATTCTGACTGCCACTACGTATAATGTACTAATATAAATGAGAAGATGAAAATGTTTGTTAAATAAAATAAATGCTGAAATATACAAAGTCTTAGATCATTACTAGTAGGTCCACATTTTCATATAATATAGAAATTATTAAATACAATGAATGAGAAGGTTAAATTTATTTTGACTTTTTATTACTTACATATGCTATATTTAGATAGCTTTCAAAATTTTTTCATCTACAATAATTTTAATTTTTTAAACTGAAATAGTCAACATGTGAGATGTAGTGATAAAAAAGGATACATATAGGTAAGCTATGAAATAAGTTTATTATCAACCATAACGTTTGCAGCTAGTTCTATATTGTCCAGACATTCCCAGGAAGAAGGTATCGAGGAGCGAAGACCAACGAAGACACCCGAACGGGTTCCAACTTCGTCTAGATGTAATGATACCTCCATTATGGACACATTTCAGGTGGCTGTGTCTTTGCTAATATTGGCGCGATTTTAATGATTCTTTCTATAGGCAATTTAGAAATATTTCAAATTATTATGGTTATAAATTACCTTGGGTATAAATTAATAATTTACGAATACATTTTTATACTTTTTGAGATATGAGCAAATAAAGCATCCATTCCTTAAACATTTTTTTTCCTGGTTTTTGGTTTGTTATTTTCAATAATGAACTATTGTGATCGACCAGAAAATTCAAAAACTTAACCCCTACTCAGAATTTGAGGTTTTACGTTTCAGGATAAGTAGAATTCGAAAAAAAAAAAACAAAAAAAAAACCTGTACCACTACAACCCATGAAGGGTCTGGGGTTCAGTACTATTTAGGGAAAGCACTGTTTCTAGGTCAACGGTTGTGCAAGGAGGTGATTTGACCGAGATCACGCTCAACCGCCAGGTTTTCCCCCTTAATTAATTATTTAATTAAGGGTACCCACTTTATAGAGGCTGGGTGTGCCCCAGGAGGGACTCCTGACCCAAGGTCGCTCCACGGCCAATGAAACAGATAAATAAATTATCTGCCATGAGCCGGGGTTCGAACTCGGGACCTTTGCATTGGAAGCTCAGTGCCCTACCACTGAGCTACCCCGCTCCCAAGTAGAATTCGAAAAACGAATAAAATTTTTCTCCAAAACTACTGAACCGATTTTTTTTCAAATTTCGATATAAAATCAGAGGCCACCCGAGGATTACGTTCAAAATGGCGGCCGAAAAAACTGCGTTGCTATAGACTGTAGCGCCTAAACGAATTCAATCAGTACCGATTTCAATGAAGCTTCGCTAAAGTCATTTTTCTCGCTAAATTTATCTATGCAACATATTTCAACGAAAAAAAGCTGGAAAAAAAGGTACGAGGGATGGTAAAATTAAATTCCGAATAACCCAAAAAGTATGGTTTCTAGAAGTTTACGGAATTTCCTAAAAAAAAAAAAAAAAAAAAAAAAAAAAAAAAAAAAAAAAAAAAAAAAAAAAAAAAAAAAAAAAAAAAAAAACGCCACAAATTATTTCACAATGGTTTATTATTTCCAAAAAAATTTACATCTAAAGTAATATTACCTTCCAAGTTATAAAGAAAAATATATAAAAGGTGATTCCAATTATTGGACTAAACTTTTTTTTTTTAATCATTAGTAATATGCTAAAAAAATTAGCATTACTTCAGTAACGCATTCAAAATTAAAAAAACAAAACAAAGGATATAACCTTTGCAGTAGAACATATATAAAAAAACTAAAGATCATATCTTTGCTCCTAATCGTCCAACTTTTTTTTTTTTTTTTTTTTTTTTTTTTTTTTTTTTTTTTAGGAAATTCCGTAAACTTCTAAAAACCATACTTTTTGAGTTATTCGGAATTTAATTTTACCATCCCTAGTACCTTTTTTTCCAGCTTTTTTTCGTTGGAAATAATAAACCATTGTGAAATAATTTGTGGCGTTTTTTTTTTTTTTTTTTTTTTTTTTTTTTTTTTTTTTTTTTTTTTTTTTTTTTTTTTTTTTTTTTTAGGAAATTCCGTAAACTTCTAGAAACCATACTTTTTGAGTTATTGAGTTATTCGGAATTTAATTTTACCACTTTTTTACTTGGAAGGTAATATTACTTTAGATGTAAATTTTTTTGGAAATAATAAACCATTGTGAAATAATTTGTGGCGTTTTTTTTTTTTTTTGGCATATCTGCTTAGAGGAACATAATCTTTAAAATGATGGAATTATCTAATCGTATCGTAGGATTTGATGAAATATTACAGCATACAGACTACTGTGATACTGTTATACGGTGATTTTATAACTATATATCACCGTATATATATTTTCTATATATATGAACTATATATTTTATTTATTTTTTTAAATAGTTCTTTAACTAATCCGAAAACTAAACATCTTTAGAAATATTTCAGTTGGTGATGAAAAGGCAGATTGATTTACCACTGTACCTGTTTTGCAGTCTAGTGAAACTTTCATATTGACTTTCCTTATTTATAGAAGAAAAACAAAATCCTAGAGCTCCATTCGCTAAACAATGGTGAAATTTTGTATACAACGATATCCAATTTATCTGAGAAAAACAGGCCTTTTATTTGTCACACAATGTATTTTTGGCCTTAATGATATTATGTAGGTATAGTGCATATGGTTGTGATATTTTGGAGTCTTGAGTGGTACTTTTGATTATTATTCGATCAAGAATAATAGCAAGTTCGGAGAATCAGAAAACTGTCGCTAAAGATAGCTGGCACCCCTTCAGAAATTAGTGTATACTTTTACTATGTGCTATGTATTGTAAAGACCGCCGGGGGTATTCATTTAATTATTTTAAAGGTATAAATAAATAAATATCATAAGTGGCCACATCTGGCGCTACCTGAGCGAGGGTAACGACCCACAAGCCCAACCTTTTGTAAGTGGTAATAAAAACCTTTAAGAACCACCGACCAAGACCGACAACTGAGTGTTTAAACAGGATCCCGAAAAACCTTTTCACACCTTCCACCAGAAATACGTAAATCTGTACCTGCTGCTTTACCTTGGACTGGGGGAGAGGGCGTGGTCATCCCTTAGGCTAGGAATATTCAGCCAATCAGGAAAAAGACTACCAAAAGAGAGGGGGATGAAGAAAGGTGGGAAATAGAGGACTAGGACTAAGGGACTTCTCTTTGGGACTCAGCTAAGGGGACTTCAAGCGGAGTCGAGGGAGGAAGACGAAGACAGCCGGAGAGAGCAGATGGACGGACTAGACGCTGAAGGAGAGCAGAGACAGGGAATCCAGATATGACGGCTAGAACACCTAGAAACACTATGAATGACCAGCTAAGTGGTAACAAGCATTTAGTTATACTGATGTAAATTTGTGTTGGCAACCATAAACTATTAATTAATATAATCAATATAACACATATAACTTTATTCAAACATCAAGCATTCTCCTCCAGTATGATTCTCAACTATTCATTATGTATATAGGTTTAGTTATTATTTTGTATATATATGTTTTGGTTATTTGTAAATATAATAGTTAGTAAACCATCTTGATGATTTTACATTCTACCTTGCATGCCACCAATTAGATATAGAACAAACAGTAAATTTAAAAACATGATACCTTTAGGAAGTAAATCCAATAAAAATTATATGGTTCAATCTAGGATACTACAGTAGGGGGTCTGTGGTATCTAAACATTTAAATACATCATTAATATATTTTTCGGTATATCGGTTCCCTTCTGGGACCGATATGAATACCAATATAAGTATTAAATATCAATAAATGCGGTTTCTGGAACCCCCTACTCGCCGTAGAAACGCGAGGCCAGGAACATAGCATATGATTAATACTGAGTTTTTATTTCCACTTATGAATTTTTGTTTTCATTTTACTGCTTGCCATCTGTTGAATAGGTGGTGGGGTAAGGTTATTCTACAGCTATAACTAAAATATTCTAATCGGAGTGAGAAGGTCATGTCAAAGTCGATTCACGAAATAAATTTAAACCCACCCAGGCAGGATCCGAATCGGCATGTTTATGGAATATATCCTAAAGAAAAGTGAGGTAGTTGGCTGATAGTTTAATTAAGAGTTCGCGTCTGGATGTCAGGGATCTTTGAAATCTGGCAATAATCCCCACACTCCTCTGGACCGGGAAAAACACACATAATTTAAAGGCGAGGAAGGGTAGAGGAAATACATGTCTTAAAGTCCATGGATTCAAATATCCAAATCTTACAAAATAATCTGTGCATGACACAGCTTAATCACACAAAACTTGAATTATCTTGGTTCCTACATATGACTCGGCAAAAGTTTCAATTTATATCATCTATATTTTAGCGGTGCCCAGAGGAAGATGACATGGCGCTAGTTTGCGCATCAATTGTTTTTCGGAAACACATATAGCAAAAAGATAACTGTCAACAAAATTACCCATTTACCAAAAAAAGCTTAAATCGAGCAAATGTCAATAGAAAGTGAACTTTGGAGCTAAGTAAGAAGATTAATTGAATCGAAAACCTAATCTTTTATCTAACTGGATGCTAAATTTCATAAATAAATTACAGAATACATTAGAACCTTTAAGCAATCATAACTAACTATAAATAATGTGCATCTAATCTGATGTTATTGTAGTGTGTAATAATTTGATTAGGGTTTTACTAATAAAACAATTCGCGTATTTCTTTAAAATTTTAAGAAAAACAACTAGAGACATAAGAATTTAGCTTAGATACCGAATGTAACGAAAATACTATCACAGCTAATGTTTAATAGAAGGAAATGTACACAACTGGTGGCGATGCCTGTTGAGCCTTTGATAACGCTGACGAACGAGCGTAGGGCAACGGTTTTCCCTCACCGCGTTCAACAATCTTCAAAAAAGATAACTTTTTTTTCTAGTTAATATTTTACTTGTGAATTTTGGGAACAGATAACCGAAAGGTTATCTCTGGGACAGGCAGGCGGTCTAATTTCCGATTATCTAAACCAATATGGCAGGGAGTTACGAAGTTTACAAAAATATTTCCTAAGCCTTTGCTTTAGATATGTCCAAATATTAGATTTATTGGTATTAAAATAC